TGTTCACCATTGTTCATCATCGTTCACCGTTATTCATCATTGTTCACCATTGTTCACCATTGTTCATCATTGTTTACCATTATTCGTCGTTGTTCACCATTGTTCATCATCGTTCACCGTTATTCATCATTGTTCACCATTGTTCATCATTGTTCACCATTGTTCACCATTATTCGTTGTTGTTCACCATTGTTCATCGTTGTTCGGTCACAGATCCTTGACGACGGCGGCGACGCGACTCACGTGATGCTCAAGAAATATCCGGACCGCTTCAAGAGCATCAGCGGCATCGTGGAGGAGAGCGTGACCGGCGTGCACCGCCTCTACCAGCTGAGCAAGTGTAGCAAGCTCACCGTCCCAGCAATGAACATCAATGATTCCGTAACGAAGACCAAGTTCGACAATCTCTACTCCTGCCGCGAGTCCATCCTCGACAGGTGAGGCGCGGCGCCCCCTGGCGGCTGCGGCGTCCGGATTTGTCCGCGTTTTCGGTTCGAGTTGAGCGATTCGATGGAATCGGTGAATCGTTGCGACGGAGTTCGATCGATGGGTTTGTTTGCAAAAAAGAGTTGACTTGCGTTGTGAAGTTTCACGCAGGTTTCACGATGTCCTGAACTTTTTTATGTGTTTCTGACACATTCGTGTAAATATTTGAATAATATGTATATATATATAGAAATATATTTACATACACACATAATTAATTATATACATATAATTGTGAGGTAATAAATGGTGTAAATAATTACGAAGTTTCTGACACACGCGTTCGCAACCCTAGGCTATTAGTCTAGACTAGAGTAGTGAGGCTGCGTCGCCGCGGCGACATAGCAAGCGAACGTCTTTCTAGCATCTCTCTCTCTCTCTCGTGCTTGTAGCCTCAAGCGTACGACCGACGTAATGTTCGGTGGCAAGGTTGTGCTGGTGTGCGGATATGGAGAGGTCGGCAAGGGATGCTGCCAGGCTCTCAAGGGACTCGGCGCCATCGTCATGGTTACCGAGATCGATCCGATCTGCGCCCTGCAGGCCTGGTAGGTGGCGCCGCGAGGCGGTGGTGAGGTGAGGGAGGGAGGGGGGGTGATTGTTGTGTGGCTGGCTGTGGTACTGATAGTGATGATGGTGATGACGATGACGATGACGATGATAGTGACGATGGCGATGATGACAATAATGATGACGATGACGTTGACTGTGACGATGGTGATGATGACAATGGTCTCTCCCTCCCATGATGTCACTCCTCTCTCTCCTCTCCCTCTCTCTCCCTCTCTCTCCTCTCTCTCTCATGCTAACACTCCTCTCTCTCTCTCTCTCTCTCTCTCTCTCTCTCTCT